TCCAAATGGAATTGTGTATTCTTAACAATGGTTTGCTAACTAACTAGAATAATAATACGTCACCAACTTGTAACCTGGCTGATTACAATTCTGATATATAATAGTATGATACTAAAATACCATCGTTTATCTTTTTACTGAACATTTGCTTCATTCACACAGGACGTTCTATTGTGAGTGAGTAAGTTTAGTTTTACGCCGCACTCAGCAATATTCCAGCTACATGGCGGCGGTCTGTAAATAATCAATACTGGGCCAGACAACCCAGTGCTCAACAGCATGAGCATCAATCTACGCAGTTGGGATACGATGACATGCATTTATGGTGACGCTATTGCATTGTTGTAGACAGCTGTTAAAACAACAGTTGCTACTAAAAAACGGTATTGTCATAACTGTCTTCTCCAGACGTCACGAACAACACTAGTAGCATTTAAAATGCCAGCGATAGAAAGGATATGTTTTGTATTGGAAACACTGTTTGTTGTTTGTTTAACGCCGCACTCAGCAATATCCCAGCTGAACACTGCGGTCTGTGAATAATCGAGTCTGGACCAGGCAATCCGGTGACTAATATCATGAGCATGAATTGGGAAACCATGATATGTAGAAACAAAAAGTTAGGGAGCCTGACCAGTGACCACCCGATCCCGTTACTCGCCCCGAGCGCAAGCATGGGTTGCTGAAAGCCAATCTCCAACCTGGATCTTCACGGGGTTTGGATTGAAAGATGGATTATAGTCTGGCTTGGTTTGAATTGGGAATAAAGATGGGCACAATTAAATTATATCGTGTTTCTTTTCATAATGTGGACATAGTAATGTAATATGGCACAACATGGTAGAATGAGGTACATGTAGACCAAACAGTGATATATCTCACAGTACTCAGTATTCAATTGTGAGGCATTAAATCAGTCACCAAAGAAGGAAATTAACTCAAAGCGAGAAATATGTTCCCGAAATGCGTGAGAAAATTGTCCCATCTTCTCTCAGATTAAACGAAAATGTAAGAATCGAAGAGCTGACTGAAACGTAGAATCTCACTGAAACTAAAAGATACCAGCACGATAAATAAACCATTCAACACTCAGGACTTCAACCTCACCTTCGACTGGGACCCATAAGCTACTAGTATGGCACGAGTTATCTCCCATGACATATACGCTCGGACTGCCTCGCTTTGCTCTGGTCATGAGAGCGCACGTAAAATCTTGCACACCCAGCCAAGAAGCTTACAGTATTGATCGTGACAGGAACGTGTTCCAGTGATTCATTCCTGGTAACAGGTTTGGTATTGAGCGACACATACTTGTTATATGAGGAAACTATGCGTGTGGTAAAAGGCGGTGGAAGTGGGTGGTCAGGCTCGCTGACTTTGTTGATGCATGCCATCGTTTTCCAGCTGGCTTAGATGTAACTCACCAGATTGTCTGGTCCAGACTCGATTATTGTCTTAAAGCGGAGGGCCTTACATAACAACCAAACAACCATATCAGTCTCGGTGCTTGGATGGTCACTTTGACTATGTTCAGTATGTTCCACGGTGGCTATAAATGTAATTTCTGTGAGTGGCATTTTAGAAGTTGAGACATACAATATCGAACAAACTTTAATTCTGGATAACAACTTCTTTCATGAGGTGAGTGCGGCGTTTCTATACAGATTCTTGTACTGTTGTCAAGCAGACATTCCTGCTTGACAACGGTACGGGAATCTGTATCGAAACGTGGCCCTCAATTCCTGCTTGACAAGGGTACAAGAATCTGTATCGAAACGTGGCCCTCAATTCCTGCTTGACAACGGTACGGGAATCTGTATCGAAACGTGGCCCTCAATTCCTGCTTGACAAGGGTACAAGAATCTGTATCGAAACGTGGCACTCAATTCCTGCTTGACAACGGTACAAGAATCTGTATCGAAACGTGGCACTCAATTCCTGCTTGACAACGGTACAAGAATCTGTATCGTCGCACTCATGTCATAAAAGATTGTGTTATCTATAAAGTTTGTTCAATATGGTTATAATGTATTTATAGCCCAGAAAATGATTCCTATGAGAGATATCACTTGGGACGTTCCACGGATCTATCCTGGGAGATATGTATCGCTGGTCTAAAAGTTTCAAGAATATTGTGATGACATAGCTTACCGTGACGTCACAATCAAATGACGTCACTAATCTCTCTGCAACTGAACATCAGAATTTTTAAACCCGAGACACTGCTTGTGATCCTTTACTAACTGAAAAATGTTGGGAGAATGTTTTAGGATGATCACAGAATCTCACCCTCGTGTTTTCGATAGGAAACATGTCAACCTTTATCGACTTACAGTTATATGATATCAAAAGACCATTCGAGTGGGATTCACAGGCCGCCATGAAATAAGCTGTATATGCAATCTCTGTTAGTATACATAAATATGTTGCTTGTGAGAAATATATAAATAATACGTATTGTAACGCCAAAAAGTATTCTTATCTCCATGTCATGTTATGTTATGACAAAGGTAAATGCGAATTCGGTGACTGGGAAGAAACAGAGTGAAGCCCAATGTTTTTGTGTGTGTTTTCGACACTTAAGTATCCTTTACAGAAAGCATGATGTATATGTTCAGACAATATCATTATAGTTAACTCGTGAAGATCCGGTTTAAACTTTTCTTCAGCAACCTGTGCTTGACGTAAGAGGAGACTAACCGAATCGGGTGGTCAGGTTGACTGGGTTGAAACATGTCATCGTGTCTCAATTGCGTAGATAGGTAATCATGGTGTCAACCACTACATTGTCTGGCCCAGTCTTGATTATTTACAGACGGCCGTCATATAGCGGGAAGATTGGTGAGTGCGGCGTTAAACATCAAACAGATACAAATACGGGCTCGCTTAGCAGGTGGTGTACTCGTGACAGACATCTTGTGATGAAAACTCATGTCGGTTGTAAACAT